TATATATATATATATCGACAAAATAACTTTGACTTTATTAAGACAGAAAATACGCCTATACTCACATGTTCTTGGTGTCGGTTGAGCAACTGTGGTTGGTATATTATAGCCTGTTAACAGAAAATAAACGGGAAACGCTGCTATTGCTGCAATGACACTGTGCTTTGTTTTACCTACCGTATACTCGAAAAGACGGCTCAGTTTTAAATAAACGTGCTCTCTCGCCTGTCGAATAAACGCTCCCTAAATTACTGTACGCTGAGAAGTTTTGGCGCAGCGGAAACGGTTTGGTTTCCCAACCTCTCAGCAGGGTCGGGGTTTCAATCTTTCGCTGTGCATCCTTGAGGCACTTTATCTGCATTGTTTCTCTTCACCAAGAAGTATAAATGGGTACATAGCGCAGTTTCCCGCTCTTGTGAGGATTACCAGCAGCAACACTTATAAAAAGCATGTGGACCCAATGACCAGGGGAAAAAAAACTGCGCTTTTAGTACTAGTAGCAGTGTATACAAGAAGAAGCAGCATCATTCTCAAAACATTCTATTAACGTTCTAAATTTAGGAAAATTACATTTTCTAACTGGTTTGGAATCAGTATGTCTTTATGATCATGCAATAAACATTTTGTCGGTAATTATGTGTTCTACATTTACAGTGTATTTGAGAGAAGTTAATTTAAGTATTATAGGTAAGTACCCTTTTTTAACATAACAAATAATAATATACGCCTCTCTTGAATAGGCCTATTAACTCCCCCTCACAAACCCTTCTCGACAAGAAAAACAAACAAAAAAAAAACTCTCCCGGGCGTTGGTTCGAATACATACGGTAATTTGGCAGTGTCACGTGTAATAACGCTGAGTATGGTATCCTATACTAACCGTTAATATTAGTAAAATAAAAAAGTAGACGTTTTTTTTTATTCTTCTTAAAACTATAACCGCAAAACAAAAAAGATAACAAGGAAATTCAAATCATGTACTTTATACATCCCCACTTATTTATTTATTTATTAAAAATTCGACAATACTGTTCAAGGGGGAACCATGGGCCGGGGGCTCAACAAATTTTATTGAATATATATATTTCTTTGGTAAATACTTTTTATATTAATGTGTATATTTTTGCACGTGTCTATACTTACATGCTGTTGGGGTGAATGTTTGAGCAACTGTGGACGGCATATAACCTGTAGACGTCATATTGCCTGTGAACAAAATAATAGTATATAGGCCTAGATAAAGAAAAGGTAAACGCATGCTATTATTATAATGATATACACTTTTGGTTTATTTACTGTACTTTACATGTTTAGCTGGCCTAGTCAGGGAATTGAATATGTTAACCGTTGAGATTAGTAAAATAAATATAAAGTTAGACGGGTCAGTTGGATTTTAGATTTTGTTTTGATCCAATTGGTTTTTCAGTCAGGGTTGATCATTTAGTATTATAAATATTTTATATATCACAACAGAAGCACAATCAAAACTAGACTTACTTGGCTGTTTGTAAACAGAACATAGGGCTTTTCCTTATTGCCGTAATTAGAAGTGAGGTTAAATTTACAAAAAAAAAAAAAACTTTTTAAAAAGTCTAAATTAACCCACAAAATCAAAAATGAAAGCACACAGAAAATTATAAAGAAAACTATGAAATTTAAACACATGAAAAACAACTCGACGTCATGGAAACTCGAACTATGACTGCTATAACTATTCAAAATTATGTAGAATGACGATATATTTTGATATGCATATCTTTAATATAGTCCTTGCTTGGAAAATATATGGAGAAGATTTAAGCACTAAAATCAGCAGACGGTGTCGCGTCGTCTAAAGGCCAACTCAGACAGCGTCGGCCGACGCAGCCCGACCCGATTTATCGTCGGGGACAGTCTTAAGCCGTCGTGAGAAATATTAAACATGTTTAATATTCTACTACGCGACTGCCACCGACGCACACCATCGCGTTTAACTCACACAGGCCCGACGCGACAAGAAATCGCGTCGGGCTGCGTCGTACGACGCTGTCTGAGTTGGCCTTTACACTCACAGGGAGCGGAGTTGGATTCGTCGTGTGATGGTCGTACGACGCAGTGAGTTCCCGGCTTTATGCGACACATGACGCGAAGAAGTTAATTAAGCTAAGGTAAGAAATGAAACATTAACCTGGAAAACAATTTAAGGAAATAAGCAGAATACCTTAATTATAGTTTTATGATGATGAAAATATTGTTTGATGGTGCTTTAACATCTGAGTCTGAATAATTACCGTACTAAACGAGCAATGTGCAGCTGTTTCTCAGTGTATTACAATAGGCCAATATGACGATGAAAATGTTTTAGTAGGCAGCAGTTTATCTTTACTTAATTAAGAAGTGTACAGTACAGTCAACTATTTACAACAATTCCATCTCTCTTATTGGTTACCATAATAAATATCTCTAATAACATAATATTCATGAAAAAATTAATGAATTGAAATTAGGTCAAGTTTGATGACCTAAAATATAGGATCACCATAATAGGAGGGAGGGGTAAAAATTTTTGTTTTTAATGTTATTTTATGTATTAGTTTAATCAAATTAATAATAATTAAATAATTTTCTGTGTAATATTATAAAATGATATACCGTATTTTATAATGTTCAATGTAGGCCTATATCTCTCTTTTTTTTAAATACCTTTTTATGTAGCATTTTGTATCTTTTAACGTGCAACTTTCCACACCTCGCTTTTGTTCGATGTGCCGTTAATTTTGTTCAAGGGGATGTAAATGTGCTTGAAACGTATGTTCCTCTCTTCCCTTTCGCTACTTTTTCTGTATTATTATCTGTTACCTTTGCTCGCTGTGTGTACAGTGATAAAGATTACTAAATAAATTTAAAAGCACCACTTAGTAAAGTAAATTTTTCGTATACCGTAAATGCTCGAATAAGCGCCGCTCTTGAATAAGCGCCGCACCAAACGTGATGTTTTTTTTTCGTTAAGCGCCTCAGCGCTTAATCGACAGTATATATTACACTCTGTGTAATGAAACAGGGTTTAAATACAATGTGTACAGTGTTCAAATTAATAACTAAAAAAATGAAGACACAATCATTTCTTTATAAACGTTTGTTTACGATGATAGGACCTACTGAACTGCGGGAATATGTGAAATAGTTTACATGGGAAGGGGCATGGTAGCGCCACGCCAATATTTTTTTTTTATAAGCGCCGCTCTCAAATAAGCGCCGCTCTCGAATAAGCGCCGCACTGAAGCCTCTAAAAAATTTATAAGCGCCGCGGCGCTTATTACGGTACAATCTGTGGACGTTTGCGGTCCCCTGTGCAGGTCCCTCAGTCATAGGCCTGGTGGCAGTTATTGACGTTTCAAATCAAATGGCCCACAATTATATCTTGCTGGGGCCCATTATCACTAGCTACGCTGGTGCGTTCAGTAACGTACGTGACGTGCGTGACGGTCGCAATATTTAGTGCATGTTTCCGTCATTTATGAACGGTGATTGATAAAACAACATGAGCATTTGTGTACACTGGGCCTACGGTTTATAGTCCTTATCCGAGAAGACTTGTTCCACCACCAGAACTATAGGAGCAAGCCGGCCGCGAACCTGTGCCGATATTGTTTGCTATGATCACGGTGCCCCTGCCTTAACCGCTCGGCCATATGTGCATATCACACTTTTTGTCACATAAAATGTGATAGTATGAACAAAGCTAAAATGAAAGTGAACCATTCACCATTCTGCTGTTTTAATTCGAACCCTCATATAGAGACCAGGAAAAAAAATCCCCGAAATAGTTACATAACACCACCAACAGTTCGAAAGCGACTTTTTAATACTCACTAGTACAGATGACGCTTGCATCCTCAAAATGAGCACAGTTGTGTGATCGAAGTCCACTGTTGGGGCAACTGGTAATATCGTTCTCATTTCCTGTACATGCAACGTCATCATACATAATATCTCCAGATCCTTCTCCAAAATGAGCTGACGGTGGAGCGTCGATGGCATCTGGAAAGCCTAGTTGTCTGCAAACAACTCGAGCGTCATTTATGTCCCACGAATCATCACATATTGTACCCCACTCCCCTTCTATGTATACTTCAACTCGTCCTTCTTTGTTGTTACTTCCTCCGACAAGTCTTACTTCTGAGAGAAATAGTAAATGTATTTTATGATAAAAACAATATTATTGATACAAAATTGTAATAATATTTAAATACACTATTCTATTTTATCAATAATAACGCCGACAAAAACACTCGCAGAAGCTATTGTTTTCAGTACAGTAAATTTATTGTCTAACAATTTTACGTTATAATAACGTTGCAGTTTGGTATTCATAATGTGGTTTTGCCATAAATAAATGTACGTCCTTATAATGTAATTTTTTAATAAATAACGTTGCAGGTGTTGCTGCAACGTTATTTTCCGACATAATTTAGGCAGAATATTTACAACGTTTGCGAATGTTTTAACTGTTTTGTGTTTGCTAGTTTGTTATTATTATAATTTTCAAAGTACTTTTAGTCTACAACTTTTATTATATGCATATAAATTTAAACGCCGATTTACACAGGGCAAAGCAATTTACATATTATCCCATCTTCAGGTAAGAAGAGTAGTATAACTGAAGGATAATAGACCTTTACGCTAAGCCCCGCACCTTTGATATAGTTGCATAACATTCTTTGATAAACTTGAAATGTGTATTGACGTTGTACTTGCTGACGTGCACCTCTTTCATAGTGTAATACACTCTGGTGATTTTAATATTAGATATTCCTGCAATAATTTTAACTCATGTAATTCACTCAAGAAAATTACTTCTATTTTTTATATTTTGAATTTTGATCAAATTTACTCAATTTAAAGCCGTGTATAAGTTAAGATCATACCACTGTTATGTAAGAAATTTAGCTTTAAAATCTGAGGACAATGGAAAGGCTTTTGGTCCTTTTTCTCAGTAAAAAAAATTATAATGTTCCGTTTGTAACAACCTACTTTTTGGATAAAAACGCCATTTTTTGATTAAAAACATTGCTAAACCCCGCAAACCTCCAAAAACACAGTGCAAACCCCATCCAAACTCTGTGATAATGATTGAATCACATAGTATAGACGATGGCCAATGTAATTCCTTTACATAAGGCTGGTGCAATTAAAGACATCACCAATTATAGGTCACTGTCTCTGTGTTCAACGGTTGGAAAGTTATTAGAAAGAGTTTTCAGTAAACATTTACTAAACCATTTAAATTTTCACAAACTATTTTCACCTTATCAACATGGCTTTTTAGATGGAAGTTCTAGTCAAACAATAATTAGCACCGCTTACTATCACCAATTATAGGCCACTGTATCTGTGTTCAACGGTTGGAAAATCGAACATCTTTCAAAAATTATGACGACCTAACATCTTTGTTGTTATGACTATTAAACTTTCTGTATTATTATTAACGAATCTCTTTTTTATTATGACTATCGAGTCTCTTTTTATTATGACTAGCGAACCTCGTTTTTAGTATTGATATTACGACTAGATAACTTCTTTTTATTATGACTGGCGAACCTTATGACTAACTGTCCTATATTATGACTAGCGAAACCTTTTCATGATTATGACTATAAGAACCCTTTATCATGACTAGCGAACTTTCCTTTCTATTATTAGC